TAACGAGTTAACATTGTGTAAACTTTGAATTATTGAGAGATGCAACCCAATCTACATACCTTAAATAAATATGCTAGGAGCCTGATATCGATAAATATTTGAAACTGGTTGATATCGTATTTTCAGATATTCATATAAATGTTATTGAGTAGGTAAAAAAAAAAAAAAAAAAAAAAAAAAAAAAGACATATCAAACTATTGCTTATTTGCAATTTTATTTTATTTTATTTTGAAATCTAGAGGGAAGAAGGCCGAATTGCTTGTGCAGAGAAAAGAAACAGAATAACAGAATATTCATAGCACTAAATAGTCAATCTATCTGTCAGATCTAATAATATTTTTCAAGTAATAGTATTTCAAAAACATCCTATCAAGCAGGTTGAGCTTATAAATATAATTAAAAACATGCTAGTATAGAGAATCTGAGCAGAGCTTATTAATATAAACTAAAGGATAATTAGGCAAAGAAAAAATAGAAAAACAAGAATATAAATTAAAAGGATCCTAAGGGATCATACTATTTTTGCTTTAGACAAAAAAATTAATAAGACTACAGAGTATATACATATGAATATTAGCGTGTTATTCGAATTATTTATATTTTTTTTTATATTTACATAATTACATAGCAAAGATGTTACTAGAGATTCGATATTTGATGAGTTGACAGTAAAAGAAAATCGTGAAGGCTTTCCAAAAACCTTAAAAAGATATTTTTGTTTATCTTGCTGATAAGGTCGATTTTGAGGTAAGAAAGTTAAATGTAGTCAGTTTCGTTTATATGAAGAGAGTTGATTATACTATATATAACATAAAACTTTGTTAACTAGCATTTAAATCTGAATATAAAATTAATATTTAAAAAATATTTTATTAACTAAATTTATACAAATTATATTTAGATTTAAATTAAGTTTTTATAACATTAATGTTAATAGTCGATGTTATGAAAATTAGCTTAGCCAGCTTACAATAAAACATTAGCCTGAATGTGATCTTTGACCAATCAAATCAATCGAAGAAAAATGGCTAGAGCCATTTTGACCTCCTCAGATAATTTTTTTTAATAAATCAATTATATATAGTTATATTTACATAAGATTTTTCTAACCCTAAAGATATTATGTAATATCTATCACTGCCCTAACAGATCTATTTATATCTAAGTTGGTTTAAATTTCAAAATCTACTTGTATGGGTTCTGTCTAAATTCACAGAATTCAGAGTTCTATAACGTAAATACAGTATGTAATAATAAATATTTTTGTTAAGGGTCGAGTAAGCAGACTAATCTCCTATCGGCTTATAATTACCGATAGTTTAGAAAACGCACCTATGGTGTTTTGCACCTATTATATGTTTTTATTATGTTTTTTAAATTTTCTAAGTTTTTATAAGTTTTATTATAGAAATTTTTGACTTAAATTTTTTTATCTTAAGGTTAGTTTTTAAGTTGGTATTAGGGTTTGGGAAGGGTTTTCAGAGGCGTAGAACATTTTTACTTAGAACACCTCGTACTGATTAATTAGCCAGTTTTTGAGATAATGCATACATAGGTACGTTTTAGTAAAATTCTTAATAATTATAAATCTTAATATTTGGTTTTAGTAAAACTAATATTAATATTAAAAAAAGAAATTAAAACTTAAAATATTAAAATCTTGATTTACTAAAGTTATACAAAAAAACAAGTCAAACTTTTATTTTATTAGAGTTACTATAAAATTGCTATATCCCAGATATACTAATTTTAAAATTCTAAAAAATACTTTAAGGATTAAATATTTAAAAAATTAAAACTTTAAAAATTAATCAAAATTTAAACCTTCAAGATTCAATTATTTAACAAATAATTCGTTTAAATCTATTTGAAACAAGAATTTTCTAGAATAAATAATCTTTCTTTTTGTCTATTAGATATTAATATAAAGGTCTTTGTCTTGAAAATAACCTTACGATAAATGGTAATTACCAAGGCAAAGACTCCGTATGATAATTTTTCGTAATGCTATATAAAATGCGTGAATTTGATTCGCTAAATTCTATCATGTGATTTTACACACTATGTATTTACAATATCAATTATAATGTTACAACACCTGGATCACCATTCTAAATAAAAAAATATATATAATATAAATAAATAAAAACTAGAAAAGAAATTCAAATTACTATGTAACATTACTTACAAATGGATGTCTCCAGCCACATTGGAACTCTTTTTTCTGGTATATCCTATCTGGGCTTGTAGAAGTATTATATCCAATATGGTACATCAATAAGACCTTCGAAGTGACTAGTGTCTGTGTACATTCTTCGCAACCTTTAGCCCTACCCATAAGACAATTTTGCAAAATAATGTCTGGTGGAATTTCCTGTGATTCCTCCTTTAAAAGAAGATCAGATGCAAAAAGGGCTTTATTTTTTCTTATCAAAAGGCCACTATATAATCAAGCATATTAATATATATATAATCTAAAACGAAAGGGAAAAAAAAAACAAAGTAATTACCTTCCACCAGTTCCTACGAATATGCCACAATGCTGAGGAACTTGTATATTGGCATTATATATAACCGTTAGCATTTCTTTCCATTTGCCGTCGCATAAAGGAAAGTCATCCTCCACAAGTGCAATGTAAGTGCTTTTAAAATTTTCGCTTACAAGTTTTATAGCTTTAGACACATGTAATCGTTGGTTAATCTTAAATCCCTTTTCTCGATGGAATCGAAGATAATTTTGAGCTTTTGAACTATTTGCGTATCTTAATTTCGCTTTGTCAAACATGGGATGATTGCTAAAATGTGTATATATAACCATTTGCGTACGCCCGTATAATGAACTCACATTGGGCTTATCAGGAAAGTTATTTAGATATGAGTCAATAGTACGAATAAGATAGTCTGGATCACCACGCCTCGGTGCAGTCATTAAGAGGAATGATAATAGAAAACGATCTTCCGGAAAGATCTTATTCAACGTTGCTTCTCCAACATAATTTGGTCGAGTATAAAAATAATTACCAAATAACAAGAATATACAAGCTACCAAAATAATTGAACATTTTTTTAATATAGAAAATTCTCGTCGTAATGGACTATTCGCTCTATTAACTCTATCTCCTAGCTTCTTTCTAATTCGATACATTCTAAATTCTTAAACTTTTTGTATTCCTCTGCCTTGCTTTTTCTAGTATTATTTCTTACTTTTTCCAAGTACTCTTTGTTAAATGTTACCTGTGGTGTATTATCTTTTTTCCGTATGAAGCTTGAGATGTTGT